ATGGATTTTTCATGCCAGTTCCCGTCAGGACGTTAAAGACCGCAATAAGATAATAATCTAGCTAATTATTGGCGCAAAAGCCTGCAAAGAAATTTTCTATTCAAGCTGTTATTATTATATTAAGTTGTTATACTTTGTCAGTAAACATAGTTTGTTAAGGTGTCTAAGGTATGATGTAATAGCTAATCACTACATTTATAAAAATAAATAATAAATAAATTATTATTATAATTCTTTAAATATATTTGGCAACTAAATTTGCATTTTGAAATGAAATTGTTATAGGAACTATTCATGCAACATTTAACTGAATTTCAGGTGTCCTCTATATCGCAGAACTACTAATTATCCATGTAAAATCATATTTCACACATACTGTTCATTCACTGGGAAATCTATTCCCAGTGAAGAAACATGCCTGTTCNTTTTTTTTTTTTTTTTTTTTTTTTTTTTTTGTATCTTTAACATAATTTTGATGTATAATATGACTAAAATTACTAGAAAATTAAAAATTTTCTTTTATTTTCATTAACTTGAAAAAATCCTAGAAAAGGAACACTTGTTCATTCATTGGATTTTCATCGCTTGGTAATCCTTCTAATAAACACCCCGTAATCTCAGTACTTGCTTATGTTATGATGTTTGAAATAAATAAAACTTAACTTCTATAACCATAGTTTGAATTCTCTTTTTCGCAATGAGAAAAAAAAAGCATTATTATATGCAATTAATTGTACTTTAAACGGATAACTACAAACACTGACCTTATAATTTTGTCAAAGAAACAAGGCGTTGAACAGATATTAACAAATTCAAAACTTTTTCCAGAGAAGCCTCTAAGACCAGGTAACTCAATGCATTGTTAGATGACTTCCTATTGTTAGGTAGTAAGCTACAGTTACCAATCAATCTAAATTAAAACGTTTAAAATCTTATTTTTAAACAATATCTATGAAATGTTCCTTCACTGGTTGGTTTACCCAATATCGTCTTAATCTTAAAAGAAATTTCCAGAAGTGTTTCGCAGAACTATTTTACCAACTATTTAATTAAATTTTAACATTTTTAAAAATCTTATTCTTTACCCTTTTACGTTTATTATTTCTTCATTAATATACTAATAACTTTTTTTAGTACTTCAATTTAGGTTTTCTTTAAAGTGAAGTTCCTTTTTAAATTATAGTCATGTTTTTTTTAAAGAATTATTGTCTGCTAGCTAAGAATAAAACCTTGTTAAGAAATTAAAAACATTCCACTGTTTAAAATTATTTAATGCAAAACAGCTGATTATTTACTAAGCATACTATTTTTTTCGAAAAAAGAATATAAATTATTGATTGTCTTTTTTTTGTTTCTTTTTTGGTTTTTGTTTCTTGCTTTTTGGACAGAAATCAGCTTAAAAATTGTCTATTGCCTAGAAATTTCAAGATATTTTCTATTAACAATTAATTAAACCTCTCTGAGCAATCAAGGAACATTATTTCAATTTTTTTTTACAGTCAGAGCTTGGTTGCCTAGCAGCCTAGTAAAATTAAGCATTCCTCTTTCGAATTAGTCAATGGGTTGTCTTTAAATATTCATTTGCGCTGGCGACTTTTTTTGACGGTTTTCAGGACTATCGCCTAATATATAAACCTTTATTGCGACCCAATTTACGACTCAATTTTTTTAAATTTTTGTCTTCCCTAATTCAAGTGTCTATATTCCAAATATGTAAAAAAAATACAGGTTTATTCAGAGAAAGTACGTTTTTGTGTCTGACTTCGTAGCTTAATTAATAGCACTAATTAATTAGCATTTAAGGTCACCCCCAGGAACCATTAAGATTGACACTTAGTTCGTGAAAATCCGATAATTAGAACGAAAGATATTCAGGATGATATCTTTTTTTTTTTGCGGACTGTACGTGTTTCAAGACATCACAAAAATCTTTTCCTTCTTCAGTATTTATATTTATATTGAAATCACCGCCATATCAGTAATTATAAATCTATACATAATAATAAACGCGGCTGTGTGTGTGTGTGTCTGTAATCACAATATATCGCCCCAGAAGCCTCGCCCAGGCACGAAACTCGGCACATAATTGTGTTTTGACATAATGAAGAAGTATTTTTTTTCTTTTTCAAAAATTTGGATTAGTT